CAACAGTCAGTGGCTGTTAGTTGGATTTTCTCCATTGAAGATTTTATTCTGATTGCTCCAACTGACACAGGACTGAGATTAATTCATGGTCTTTCCATGGCTCATCTGAACCTGTCACCTCTCATTAGCTTTCTATTATATTTCCATATATAGGAAATAGGAAACAAGAGGAACTAGTTTCCTGCTCAAATAACCAATCTTGAGGTTAAAAAAAGCCACCAAAATTTTTAATCACAGTGAAAATTATTTTTAATTAGCTATTTTCTGCATTGCACGTTAGTACAAAATGGTATGTTACTGTAGAAAGCTCCTCAATAACTACATTTTTACTCAGCATAAAATGCCCACTATCTATAGTTTTGTTTCTTGCCTTATTGTCACCTTAGATGTTTACTAGAGTGAACAGTAAAGTATTTGATTAAGTATTTCACAACCACGTAGAGAACAAGCATATACTAACATGCACCTCGTTCAAAAAAAAAACGACAGAGGAACACCTGACCTTTGATTACCTTAATTCTTATTATCTGAAAACAAAAAAGAATTATAGAATAAATTGTCACAGACTTTTTTTTTTTGTAAATGACCTAGTGAAGACTTTCAGCAATCCTGTAATTATTTGTAGTAATAAAAATATATATTAAATATAAAAATAGCAATTCATTACACTGCTCTTCCTAGGTAGATAGAAAGGCTTAATGTCTGTTTTGAAAAGAATATTTGGCTGCATCACTTTTATAAGAGAATATGTGTTTTAAATGTCTGCATGGCTAACTGTAAGCATCTTCCTGTAACTTCTGCATTACAAGTCAATCTAGAGGAGATTTGTCTTCATATGACAGCATATACACTTTCAAGACACATTTAGGATAATCCAAGTGAAGAAGTCATCTTCCAGCCTTTAAATTAGGTATTTTCTTGTAGCACGCAGGTGTCTCAAACGCTTTATATCACATGGACTAAGCTATCCCAATATGGGAAAAGTATTATAAAAGGTTTGATTTTGTTTATAAAGCACTGCTGAAATCAAAAAGGTATCTGTAATGAAGAAGGAAGTACTGGCATGAAGCTAGTGGGAAGACAAGGCAACTTCAAAAAGGCTCTCCTTCAGCAGTCAAGGAAGCTGTGAACTGTGCTGAGAGAGCTGGGAGGACCGAGAGCTCAGGCTGTCTTTTTGGTAGCACATGGAAGCTGCTGCAGTGACTGGAGGAGGGGTGGCCTTGGTTCCCCTCATCCACCCATTTGCAAATCCACAGCTTGCCTTTGATTTTCAACTTTTCACCCTTCCACCTAGGCACTAGGAGGCTGCTGCGGCAATGAATCTCCCTTTCTTGTTACTGGTTCTTTCATGCCCTTGCACCTCACAAATCCTGAGACAGTTCAGTTCTAAAGAAAATTATTTAACTGCTATGGAAAAGGAATTTTAAGGGAAATTATGCTGTACTGGAGAGGATCCTCATCCATGAAACATCCATCCTGTTGCTCCTCTTCCTGCCTGGCCACTGGAGAATTTTCCCTCTGTGTTTTTTCACGAAGAGAAAATCTTACCTTTAGAGTCAATGTATCTGGCGATGAATGCTCCAAACAGAGCTCTGTGCATATAAGGCTTTCTCAGCTCTCCTTGCACATTTTCCAGGTCCTAGCTGATCAGGTCTCTGACCCCCTCACACAAGATAATCCTTAAGTGCATTTATCAATTTTGGAGACTACCTAGTATTTACTACATACACAGAAATGCATTTCTATATTGATTTCAATGCTCTTCTCTGTCAGGCTCAATGGCACAAAACAAGGGCAATTTTGTACATGCAGTATAATTTTGGGGTTTTGGTTATATCAGCTATGGTAAATAAAGTATAAAAAAAGAAGCACCTTCAAGTAAGTAAATTAAGCTTTCTCCCTTCAAAAGCTTTGTGAGTAGTGTTCTTATGGGATTATAATTTTGTCTCCTATTTTGACGTTCTTCGACTCTCAAATTTAAAATTTTTTTGACTGCTTAAAAACTGCTGGGCTTAAGTATATTGCTTAAAACCTTTGATTTTGACTAATTTTTCTCTGTCCTAAATTCTGGTAATGATAGTCTGAAAAGCATACACAAAAGCAAGACAGATCTGTTAGAAAAATGATTATCAGGGGAGCTATTCACACAGCCATAATTATCATGTGAGCTTAGAAATTTATTTCTGCATCATTATTTGTTTTGACTCATTAGATCTGATGACAGATTTTGGGTATGAATTGTATCAATTAAGTGACTATAGAGTTTTCAATTACCAATTGTACCCAAATATCATTAATAATGTCAAAGAATTTGCTGCATCACTAACCCGTTTCTCTAAAAGGTAAAATAAACCAGTGGAGTTATGCACTTGCTGATGTCTATTCTATACACTTGTTTAAGGCTACGCAAACTGATACTTTCATTGTTACAGCTTTTAGAAACCCAAGTGCCAAAGAGAATTCCATTTGCTAAGTGTAAACTCGTGCCACAAGAGCTCTGCATTCATGCAGAGGTCTTTTCAGTGCACAATGTCAGTGTCACCGAGTTCTCCGCAAAACACACAACATCTTTTTTGTAGCCAGAGCTGAGGGCTCTCAGGCTGCCATAGCACATTCCCATAATGGCTTCTATTCCTCCAGCCTTGGGTTTCTATATGCAAATACAAGCTGCTCTTTCCTCTACTCCTGAAGTCATTAGTTTCACTTAATTAATGTAATTACAGCTTCAAAGACTCACACCTCCGCCTCACAATTCATCAGCCTAGACGTGGCTAGCCCCAGTGCTTATTCTAGGGAAGCAGATGGTTTCACTCTCCAGCCATTCATGGCTATTTCTGCTGAAAAAAATAATTTTAAGTTGCACTGTCATTTGCTCTTGCATCAGGATAAATCCAAAGATTTCTATACATGATCTTGCATGTTTTATTTTAATTTGCAAAAACACAAGATTG